ACACACATATACACACGCACACGCGCACACATTTGAACTGCTTCCTTTAAAACTGGCTTTGATGTTTCAACATTTGATTTGTTTGACTACCCCAGGAAACGAGGAGCGGTGGCCGTATCTGCTGGGATTTTACATCATCCCTGCTGCCTTCCAGACGCTCTTCATGATGTTTCTTCCCGAGAGCCCAAGGTGTCTGCTGATAGATAAAGACAACCCAGAAGCTTCTAGAAAAGGTATGTAGGATACAAATGTGTAAAAATGGCTTTGGCTTAATAATATCAATACATGTCTCTGTAAATATGGTATTATTGGGTTCACCGCTGAAAAGTAAAAGTAAGGTAGAAGCAAGTAAGGGCAAGACAGCAAAAATGTTTAAATCTTTGGTGGGTGGTCAGAATACTTCTGCTAAGCTGAAATGGGACGGGGGCCGGTACTGGCTTCCAACCACCTTTGCCCCCTTGCTCAAACACTTCATGAAGGTCATAGGATTTGAGCCTTAAATTAAATTAATGATGAACGTTACAGAAATTGCGAAAACTTTGATGAGCCCAATCATTTTGTATCTGAAAACAATTGGTTCTTTTGTAACAACTATACGGATGTCATATTGTTTGATATTGGTCTATCTACTACCTAGTCACTTGCAATGATATTCTCAGTTGGTATTCATGAATGATGTAACATCCGTGTCCATAATATCACCAGAGTCCATAATATCGCCACCTTGAGAAAAGGTGTGCTTAAAAATATTTTTACTGCAACATACTTTTGGTATGCACTCCTGCACACCTAAAATGTACATACCTAGGGTATGTTGCAGTAAAAATATCTTTAAGCACACTTTTTCTCAAGGTGGCGATATTATGGACCCTGGTGATATTATGGACACGGATATTAACGATGTTAACGTCTTGTTTCATCAGCACTGAAGAAGATACACGGGTCTCACGTCAACCTGGACGTCTACATCCAGGAGATGAAGATTGAGCACGAGAACGAGATGAAAGAACCCAAGATGAGCCTGCTGGCACTGATCAAGTCTCGTTCCCTGCGTCCTCAGCTGATGGTCTGTGTCCTGGTCATGCTGGGGCAACAGTTTTCCGGAGTAAATGCGGTACGACTGACACACTACACCATAATCTCCAAGCAGATTCTTTGGGACAAGGGGAGAGTGTATATTGACCCCCTGTAAACATTGACCACCCAACTTGGGTGGCGTATTGGATACTGCCTGGCCATATTGCAGCCACCAAAAGATCCACATGAAGATTAAGTACACCATGTTTCTCTTCAGCTATCTTACTTACTAACAATAATTAGCAAGATATATTCACTCGCCAAGTCTTCTTGTAGCCTTTCACACGGCAAGACTGACTGGGTAATGGTATACTCAACGATGCAGTTAAGTGGCGCTTCAGTGGTAATTATGTGGCCCTAAACGTAGTCCCCCTCATCATGCTTCATGCTTATGCTAGATGTCCATTGCATGATGAGGACCTTAGTCTTTGGAAATGCGAAGAGATGGATCTTGTAGGGGAGAATCTTCAGGAATACAATGCTGGTTGCATTTATAGGGAATTGAATTCCCTTCGATACTACAACTTTCTGACATGTTTTGATATTATTTTCCAGATCTTCTTCTACTCCACGTCCATCTTCCTCCAGGCGGGCGTTCCCGCGGAGTACAGCGACTACGCGACCATCGGTGTGGGCGGGATCAACGTGCTCATGACTGTCGTGTCGGTACGGTTATCTGTACATTTATCTATGAAGCCTTACTGCATTCGTGGAAGGATTGACATAACAGGTGAATATCACCTCTTCAAGATGTACACCAACCCCGAGACCAGGCTGTAAAGTTTGAACCACTCACATCGGGAAGAACCCCTACTCCTTTCCTGCAGAACGCCCCGCCGGTTAAATAACCAATGATCTCCATGGTCTTTCAATGGTTTCTCAGCGCTAGCTTTATGATCTTATTGATCTTCACATGATCTTTCAGTGATCTCTCAATGATCTTTCAATGGTTTAAATCACCTTCATGATACTGACTGCAAAGCACTCGTTCATACGCCAGCTATCTCGCTCAGATAACTATAGATATAAGAATATCTTATACTATTGATGAGTAGCGCTAATTACTTGACTTGTTGTTTGTCCATGCAGGTGATGGTTATTGACAAGGCAGGGAGGAAGGCCCTCCTTCTGTGGCCGGTCGCCTTCATGGCTTTCTCGTTCGCCATTCTGACCGTTACCCTGGGTCTGACGGAGGTAAAGATTTTTTCGAATATCAAAGGAATCTAACATATATACAGGCAGCCAATCAGCACCAAGGCTAGCATCTATATGCCAATAGGAAGCTATGTAACATATACAATGAGTGACTCAGCCCCAAGGCTAGTAGGCCAATAGGAAGCTATGTAACATAGTGAGCAAAGCAGCATCAAGGCTAGCACCTGTAGGCGAATATGAACCTACGTAGCATATACAAGAGTCAATCAGCACCAAGGCTAGCACCCGGAGACCAATTGCAAGCTATGTAACGTACAGTGATTCAATCAGCCCCAAGAGTAGCTCCTGAATGGCCCAATGGAAACATACACAGTGAGCTGCTAATAAGCATCAAGGCTGAGTCCGACAATATTCTCTAATACTAAATGCCCTTCTTTAACAAGTTCTTTTTTTATTCACATTTACGCTCGAACATTTCCTCAGAACCTGTACTGTGAGTGCGGTTGTCAGCAGGGTCGGTGGCCGACTGGTGTGTTAGACTCCGCAGGCTCATGTATTCTTCCCAACGTAACAGGTAAAAAATGCTTAAATGTTGAATACTTTAACGAACTCTGCAACAAAAATCAAAGTAAGACATCAAAGCTGGTTAAGCATCTTGCCACTAATAAGTCATGGTAGTATTTTGTCATTAATTTTGCAAACGGGGCACTAATTGTCATCATTCATATTCACTGTGTCATGCCAAATTACGTCTCTCAAAAGTATGGTAATATAATTGAATGTAGGGAGATATGTATGGAAGTTCCTTGGTGGCTATGTAAATTTAGTCTTTTAAGACTAAATTTGTATATGCTATTGCAGGCTGTACTATTTGCACACGATTACGTTAACATCTATTTATTAGCAAGCTGCTACACTTGCAACCCCCAGAAAGATCATAGTTACCGTACTTCAAAGACCATATCCTGAATTTAGCTGTTTGTTTTTCGTCAACACAAGGTCCGACAGGCATCCCGATGACGACAGCTGGCCCGTTCGAGGACCCGTACCAGTGGATCGCCTATCTCAGCATCGTCTTCATCATTCTCTTCATCATCGCCTTCGCCATTGGACTTGGTAAATCCGTTTAAAATCAATATCTATTTTTTTTAAAGAATTGACATATACAACGCTACAATATGTGCATGTTATAATCAACATCTTTCTCGATTGCCTTCTGTAGTTTCTGTTGCTTCTCCGTTGACGTTTGATTGATTAGTAGGGAATGGGATGTTAAAAGCATCTACAAACAGGCCCAATTTATTGGATAGTGCCTGGGTATTTGTTGCCCATGAAATTTCTACGTCATCAATTTCTGCATAGGCCCAGCAGTTATTACTTGACGTAGGTATTTTATGTGTAACCACAAGCTTTCAGTTTTGAGGCTCACGTAATTTCAATGGAGGCATTTAATGGCGTCAGAAGACCCAAAGGTAATTCATAGCCTCCTGTGCAGGCCTCTGGGAGGGTGGGAGTTTTGATACTGCGTTTGGTACAATTTTAACGCGTTCTTTTGGCGGCCATCCTACAACCCACAAGACAGTTTGTACCCGCCGCGGCTGGTTGTAGAATGGTCGGCTTAAGAAAGCGTTAAAGATTCTACAAAACACAGTGTCCAAACTCCCACCCGCCCGGAGGCCTGCATAGGAGGTTAGGCAATAGATAAGTTCCCCAGCTTTGGACATTTAAATGAATTAGAAAAATTCATATTTCTTATGAAACTTGACAAACCATGTATCATTAGTTCTATATGCTCGTATATATATAACTGCGTCAAGAAGCGAGAAGAAGTTGAACATGTAAATAGAAGATTTAGTATGTATAGTTTAAGTGTCATTGCTGTATCCTTTTCCTTGTCTATTCATGACCTGTACTTAGCTTGTTAGAGCATAAACGTACAATAAAGGTCATTCATTCATTCATTCATTGATAACATGTGAAATTGTTCCCAGGCCCGATTCCGTTCATCATCACTGGTGAGATGTTCCGCCAGGGGGCGCGACCGGCAGCCTACATGATCATCGGCAGCACCAACCTGGTCGCCAACGGCATCGTGGGATTGGTCTTCCCCATATTACAGGTAAACCAATCGTCTTTACCACATCTTTACTTTTAACGACTTTCGTTGAAAGGGAATTTACCGAGATTGCCTGTAGTATTGATGTTTATGAAAATTTCATTGCTCAATTGTATAAGATTGTTCTATATATGGCAACGTCTGTCACTTCTGCCATATATACGGGAAACTCTTCTACAAGAGACTATTGGATGAGAGTATATTTTTGCACAGTATTTTGTAAACAGTAGAAATCAGCCACCCAAAACAATACTTCCGCAGTCGGAGGTAAAGAAACTGCCTGCCAATCCAAGCTAATATCCAAGTAGATCCTACGGTCGCAAGGGAGGATCCATTGGCCGAGGATTGACCATTGGCCGATGGATACTTTCTTGCCATCGCAGGATCTGCTTGGAACTAATCCAAGCCATTTTCCATCATCAGGCTCGGATCGGCGCCTTCACGTTCCTGATCTTCATGGCGGTGTGCGTCCTGCTCTGCATCTTCATCGCCGTCAAGGTGCCGGAGACCAAGAACAAGACGTTCGAGGACATCCAGAAGCTGTTCGGGGTTCGGGAAGACACCAGCGGAGAGGCTCCTAACGGCATACAAAATGCTGCTTACGTAGGCACTACGTACTTGTAGATAAAAAAGAAGTGCCTTATTATTTGTTGGCCGTTGGCCTTGTGACCCCACGGCTTTATGCTGAGTATGACGTTCGATGGTGAGGTGGTTGGGTGGCAAGATGTAATTTGCATTTGCATCAGGACTCAGGCCCATTGTTATGCTCGTTCTAGTGCGTCCGGCCTGTTCAGTACTCCTGTTTACCTGATCTTATTGCAACTTTCGCCTATAGCATCAATTCTTAGTCCAATATTGAAGTCACCAGGAAGTGATTCACGATGACTGTATAATTAGCAATGTACATGCATTTCAATGTTGATAATCATTAGTAGACCAGCCAAAACTATTGTAAAAATTTAAATAACCAACTTGAAGATATATATTGTATTTAATTTGTCGTTCTAGACATGATTGCATCTTGTATGAACGATCCTCGTACGAATGATCTACGTTATTGTAAACAAGCATCGAAATTCTGCCATGTCTGCCACGGCTACCAATTATGTTGCTGCTGATATACATAAACCAAAGATTGGGTGAATAAACATAATATATATAAGATACATAGGAAAGCCAATTACAATGATAATATTATGAAGGAAAACTGTTGAAAAATATAACTTTGTATATGATCATTGTGAGACCTGTTCTGTTCATAAGCATTGTTGAACTCAGCATTTCTCAGTGTGTGCATATGTGAATGCTGTGTTGTCGTTTTGTTGTAAATCAAAACCTGCAGAGGCATTCCTGTAACAAAATGTACTTTGAAGATATAAGAATATACATATAGTTACATATATATCCAAGTCATGTATCATATGCTACTTTGTGACAATAACAAATAAACAGAAAGGCTCTGTTACAGTGCTTTGTAGCAAAGTGGTTTAATTCATATCGTGCTTACAGTTGGTCTGGGTACATTGCTTGCACACATAGGTCGTTCCAGGTATATTTTCAAACAGTGCTTTCAAAGTAGCTTCAGTATATAGAACTACACGTACTTCAAACATGAGCTTACCAAAATATGCAAGGTGACAGCCACAGTCTTATTTGGGTACAGAACAGAAAAAATGTCAAGCCACACAAATTCACACATAATAATACTTTTTTCTAGAGACACATTTTACACAGCTACATCACACCAAGTACGGTTTTGAAGCATAGATGGTTTCCTGGCTACTATACGTGTGTATACACACGTTACCTGTTAAATAGTACATGTATGTTACCGATATACATACTACATGTACGTAGATATCAAAGCGTTTATGTTTTTTTGTTTTGTTTCTTACAAAATGGGTACTTTCTACTCTATCTTTAACTCAGTTGCCCTTCATAATACTCACCTTATTTCCTCAATCAACCAATCATAGTCTTGTCAAAGATTACCATACGAGGACCTCAACAAACATGTTATAGTACTTCTTTCATAGTCGTTAACTGACAGCTAGCACCAACAACTGTCACCAGCACAGAAACGTAACAACCATCTACGTACTAGATTTCGTAGGAAACCTCCGGAAATGTTTCTTCTTTTCGTAATATGTCCTTATTAGCAACATTGGGATGACAGTTTTCAGCGTATTACCAACAATGTTTAACATCTATATACATGTACTTCTCGACAACGCCTTGACAACTTCTAGAGACACATATAAGCTGCACAACTCAGAGTATCTTACAATGATCTCTTCTCTGATACAAGATGTCCCTTCTATATATGTAACGGCAGTTTAGAATTCCAAAGTCGACGTTTCAGCTGACATATCACACACTATACGCTGGTTACACACATGTATGTTACATTTACAATGAACGGGGATGACTGGTAAAAAAATCGTAAGCCAGGTTGTCATAGCATTCCAAGTACATTGTGGGAATGATAACACTTCTAAAATTATGAAATCAAATCTAACCGTTGCGGTACAAGTTAACAACATTTTTCACAGAGATACATAAAGAACTGATCTAGTCTCAAATAGAATTCTAAAACCTTAGCATGAAAGTTCATCTGTGTTGGTATACTTCATTATGACAAAAAGGTAAGTCCTAATTTACTCAGTGTTTAGCCCTTTTTGTCATAAAGAATTCTAAAACAATGGGTTCTATTGTGTTATTTTGGCACTCACATTTGCAATGAATTCTTGAAGCACAATTTACATAAAATGCCATGACAACACCTACATGTAAGTTTGTGCACTGGCCTTTGACAGTAATGACAAAAACAAAGGGTACACTATCAACATTCAAGTGGTGAAAATACTTCAAAGAATCCTTTACAAAATCAGTAATAACTACATAAAATGTTGATATGGTATGGTATGGTAACCTATGCAGATATTGGGGTTAAACGTATCTCTTTCACATGTACAACTGGACTATAGCGTTTTCACATCAGAAAGCATCATCAATACGTATTACACCTGTTTACAGCATTTCATCTACCTGTACCTTAGACCTATCTTTAATAACCTGCACTACATCATTGTTCACTTCTACATCAACCAAATAATTACAGTAGGACAGTAGAACATCAAGTAGTATAGCCAGTAATCTTTCAGTTTAGCTTCTCTTTGTATACAATATTACATCGTCATTATATGCATTGTTTTGTTACTTTTTCAAGCCATTTCACACACGCAGACATGGTTCCTTTGGGAATTGCATGCTCCATGATATGTGAGGGATGCAATGTTTTCACATGGTTGTCCAGTAGCAGAACAGTATTGACAGTCACTACGGCAAGTTCCACAAAATAACTTGGTGTACTGAACACATGTACTATCCATCCAATGGGAACACATGTACAACAAAGTGTTATCTATCCAATGGGAACACGTGTACTATTCATCCAATGGGAACACAGCTGTTTTCCATCCAATGGGAACACGTGTACTATCCATCCAACGGGAACACAGGTGTTATCCATCCAATGAAAACACTCGTATTATCCATCCAATGAGAACACACGCACTATCCATCCAATGGGCTCACATTTACTATCCGTCTGACAAGGGGAACACACATTACAAACGGGAGATATGTTACTATTAAATCTATTTCACATACATTCACTAATTATAGATTCTTCACAATCATACAGTTTGAATGCTTCAGATTAAAATTTGGTTTGCCCTTGTTCTTCCAGTACGAGTTGCAAATAAATAGCATACAAGAATCCTGTCAGTCTGAACTACTATCTGTTGCACATTTCCACAAAAGAAAGACTGATGGTAGGAGATATGATTTCAATATCTTTCATTGTCATTTCTACAGCCCAAAATGAAATGGTGAATCAAGAACCAATTTTCTACTAATTTGTTGTCCTGTCGACGTCAAATCAGTTTATGCTAGTAATCCATTGTAAACTGTCTAATAGTCATTAGAACAATGGAAACCAGTATGACCTATAATTACAGCGAAATGTTTGATCAAAGCACCCTGAAGAAAATCCATAACAACCTGCTTGTCTCATCTTGAAAACAGACTGACTTGAACTGCACCTTTTTTGCACCTACCCTCTCCTATAAGGAAAACAGCCTGAGAATTCGTACACTTCCAAAGTATCCAAATCTCATTTGCAATTAATTCTACCATTCTGCAGTCTACTGACAGTATGTGGTTTTCAAAACGTATCTCTGACGTAACTGCTGTTTCAAAACCTGTTAGAAACCTGTTTAATAGTTGCATATAACTCATATCTTTTTTTAACCATAGATGCTAAGAAAAAATATTGTTTAACATTACATTGTATAATGTATTATAGGCTAAGGTATTATATAAAATGTATATATATATATATAAAGAAGCAAAATAACCAAGACGAAGAAATTGTGCAAAAGTAAACTAAAGGTACCCTTACACTTACATAATGTGTATAAGAACGTTCTATACATCAGTGGTTTCAATATCCAAAGTCTATGACAACATCGATCAACAGAAAGACTTTGGTTGTGCACTTATTCCTTACAACAGAACACACAAGTTCAAACAGAATGGTTAGGAAGTTTTTACACTGCTTTTTGGGGATATAAAAACTCTGTAAATGCAGAGCATTACTAGATTAATACAAAAAATGAAAGTATACAAATCCAAGCACCTATGTCCAATAGAAATTCACCAAACCAACAGTTATTTTACAACAACACTTATTCCACATATCATTCATTTCTTCAACAATTTTTGAGTGAAAAAGAACAACTTTTTTTGGCATGGATGTGATTTTCCCTAGCACAACAGATCAGTTAGTCATTTAGATCTACCAAAGATGGCAACTGAAAATCTGTTTTGAGTTGAAACCTAACCTGTTAACAGGATGTTGAAAACTGACCTTAATTATTGATGAAGAAATGATAATTCTTAAGGTTTTAAAATCTGTGGTTTCACAGATCCTTCATATTCAATGTAAAAAAAATACAAAGAAAATATTTCACACAAGAAAAGCAAAACATTTTGTACCCACTACACTTTGGTAACACCATTTATGAGAAAATGGCATTTGCAAGAATTGAAATGTATGCACACAGTATAACATAAAAACTGCGAAATTCTAAAACATTGGACACGTAGATGTCCTGTTAACATGTAATGCAAAAGTCAATGCTGAGAAGAAATTCGGACTGTACATGCATGCCACCTGTCAATTTTAACCTGAACTGCACAAGGAACCAGTAGAAATATTCACATGCCATATAGATGAATTGTCTGGAGCCAAACTGAAATGACACAAGCATGTCAATGTCAGAATCCTGAGAAATATGGCTTTGGGAACTTAAGGTTCCAATGGCTTTGCATCTTTGTCTTTATGCAAGCATATTCCCTTAATTTCGTCTGCATGCTAGGCTGTTAGTGGCAAGATACTGATTACTACAGCTACTTATAATACCACATCCTGTTAATTGAATCAGAAAAGCTAAAGAGAGCCTGAGGGCTACTCCAAAATGAGCCTGGATTAATGTTTTTAAAGTAGATGCAAGGATTTTAAGAGTTATAAGAGGAAAATTGCTGTATCAAAATGTTTTTTTCCTAAACGAGCCAGTATTTTACCTAAAATAGCCAAAAGTGCATTCTACACTTACTGAACACATTTAAGAACTTCTAGGTGTGCTAGATTGCACATGTCCCATTACCTGCATTGCACAGATATCTGGCAATAAGTTGCCTCACTGTTTAAACTGCACATGCATAATATGGTGCTTTGTGGTTGATATGTCAAAGTAGAAGGCTTCTGAGACATAAACAAAACGTGTATCAAGCATAGTCTAGAGAAGAATGGTTTACAAGTAAGAGGCCTTCATCTTTGACCTTTGGCATGTGCAGTCCAAACTGTGAAACAGCTTATACAACATCTCCCACCCATATTTTGCATTACTATCAATCTATTTTTTGTGTGTTAAATTCCCTTATGACCAAGTACCCCAAAAGACACACAGCAATGAAAGAAAGTTCGTGACCAAATTGTTACTGACATTGACTTCTCTCCCACCTAGATATACATTGAAGTGGCGTCAAGAAATAAAATATAAGCAATACATGTCAATGGGATTAGAATTTTTACACAATCAGAGACAAGTTACTGTAAATTCCTGATTAAAGTACAATGTATGAAGGCCAAAAAAATTGATGCGCACCTCTGCAAGCCCAACAAAGTTTGATGTTTTTGAGCAAAATTTATTGGGGAAAATTGGAAAGATTAGCACCCTAAACTTTGAAAAGAATATAGTGGTGCTATGATTATAGCAAATATAGCAGCGCAGCATTGTTGTTCCATTGGGAGAACCCTGAATCTTATAAACGGTACCATTCCAAGTTCCCTGTGCCAATGTTCTGCCATGTTCCTGGATCATCTTCTGATTCGTTCAGGCAATAACCTCAAATAAAGTATGCACCCTGACATGCTCTTGGGATTTTGAAAACTTTAGAAGTGCGTACTTTGATCAGGAATTTACAGTAAAGGGTTTAACAGTCCCATTTCTAATTCTCCCAAAACTTAAGAATTGTGTTACAGGATATGTCCTTCAAAGTTGCTAGTTCATCACAACATGTTATACATGCTTAGCCATATATTGCACATAATTCATCATTTGCAACTTCTGCAGGAAAGAAACAAATATTTGTTCACAAAAAAATTTTACAACTAGCAGTCATTGCAAATCAATCATAAGTCAATGTTAATACAAATGATTTGCCCGTTTTATTATATAATGGAATGCTAATTTCTACTCTGTACATTTTTAATTCCACGTCACCAATAGTGCATATTTAATTTTCCGAACCCATCACCTTCTTCGTGTTGTTTAATGTTAATGCCACCTGTAAATTTTATTCCAGCTACATTCAGTTTTACTTCACAACACATCGGAATAAGCACTGACGTGAGGGTCTGCAGACATGCTCACAATATACTCAACACTTTTTTTTTGTTTGATAACACACAAAGCTTTACAAACACATTTTACTTAACTCTCGGACTATCGCGAACGCTCCAAGACGTACGTTTGGCTCGCTACGACTACTAATGCTGGGTAAAGTCTGGGTTTGTGTAGGAGAAACCGTCGAATTCTGATTGGTCCAGGTTCATAATGAGCAGCTTGTCCGTAGGGGTTAGGGTGGTCGGCTCCTGCGTGAATTCCTTATCGAAGTTGCTGGCATCTCTACTGTTTTTCTGTGAACAGAAAATCCAAACATAATTTAAGTGTGACTAACAAAACATGAACTGTAAATAACCTATACTTAGATCGACAGTGACAGATTTAGAAGGTAATATCTTGTGAGAAAAGGAAGAACTGATCGACAGCAGATACCAATCTGAAAACCTAAAATCATCTGTAAATTGTTGGTATATCATTACATAATTATACAGTGATCATGTGAAATAATTAATAGGAGTTCGTTGAGGGTTACATCAAGCATTAGAGACAGAAGCAGACCAATGTCAAGTGGCCTGTGCAGTGTACTTGACCCATAGTCAGATAAATTGTTCCAGGATATTAAGTGCAAATTATAGGGATGCTGAAATATCAATAACTGATTTGTGATAAATTATATTGATTACATCTTAAGAACATCACAGATTAATCAATATTGACTAGCACATGCATGTTGATTTTTGTGTTAGCATTTAGTTAACAGTACATGTGTTCAACAATCCATAGCAACTCCAGCCCGTCAGTGACAGAGACAGAAGAGCTGAAACAGAGTGGACAGGGAGTTAGACAGTCATGTTCTGTTTACAAGATCTTCTTTTTGAGGAGGACTATCTAGTCTAGAGGATTGGAACTGCGGAAAGAGGACCAGAGAAACATGAGTAAGATAGAAGATTTAATATGTTAAAGCTGAAAGGAGAGAAACAAAAAGTGATGAGTAGGAAAAAATAAAAGATTGGAAGAATAGAGAACAGGTTTAATTTGTGTTTGTCCCACGTCACTATGTAATACAGGTTTTAACTTTGTAACTATGTGGTACAGGTTTAGTGTTCCCAGGTCACTTTGTGGTACAGGTTAGTGTGTCCATGTCATGTGTTGTACAGAGATTTAGCAACAGTTGAAAGCGTCTTAGGTAGGCACACTGGAGTTTGGCTGTAAACTCTTAAAACGAAGAGACAAAAAAAAAAAGATCCAAGCAATGAAATAAGCCAACATACAGCTATGATTCGCTTTTGGTGCGGTCTGTTTGAAATATGGGTTTGTGAAGCTGAACCCGCCGAATTCCGTGCCGTCCAGGTTACAGATGATGGCGGTGTCCGTGGGCGTCAGCGTGAGCGGCGCCCGCTTGAAATGCTTGTCAAAATTGTCAGCTGCTTTAGAGGAGGTCTGTTTCGAGGGCAAGAAAGGAAGAGTCATTGGACAAAACGTTAAAGATATTATCAATTTGAGACACCTGTTACAAGATATACCAGGTCATTAGAAATTATGTTTCCTGCTGAATGTGGCTGTTAATTTTGCAAATAAAAACAAAGCTTTACCTTTCACAAAGACCTGTAAGATAAAAATGCTTCTGAATCATTACAAACTTGCTGTCAGTTTCAACTGTACATGTGCTGTGTGGTGCATTATATATTTCAAAGTTGAAGGTCCCTGAGATATAAACAAAATACTTTTGGACATATATGAAAAAAAGAATTAGATAAGAATTGCTTAGAAGTATTGGGCCTTCATCTTTTACCATGTGAATGCACAGTATAAACTGTGAATACCTCAATGTAACAATAGTCTTATTGTCTGTAGCAGTGACAATAATAATAAAAAACAAGGTTGAACATAACTGCAAAATGGTAAATACACGACGTACACAAAACATTGACCTTAGTCTAGTAGTCAGACTTACAATTTTTGGTTTGAATGGTGGTTGGATCTCTCGGACAGCTAGTCTGTCCCAGTCGATGCGGCGGAAGAAGACGTGTTCCTTAATGTCTCGCTCTCCCTCCGCACCAAACCCTAGTCGCTTGGTGGGGTGCTTGGTCATGAACTGGAGAAGAAGACAAAAACGTGTAGATATCAATAAGTGATGGACAGATGTGCTGACATGGTTCTCATTTAAGTTAGACATTGATAGCAAGGTAATGCAGCTATAACTATAATATGGAACATGATACAAAATGCTCTACGGCCTGCAGTGGCCTCTTCTCTCCCAAAGGAGGAGGAATGCCCACCACCTTCTACAAGCTTGCATCCATTGTACAACCATATAAACATAGAAACTGACAGTCCAAGGGCTAATCTGGGGAGCCACTAACTCCAAATTCCAAACTACAAACACTTGAACAGAATACATATATTACAATCAATTTTCCCCTGTACCAATTCCCAGTGTAATGTCCTGCCTGGCATGGTTGTGAAGGCTCCCGACATTTTTTCATAACAGACTGGATGCCTGCCCACCCTAGCCCGGGACCTCAACTCCCCCCTCCCCTACTTTGCCCCTGATGGTGTTATATGTGGGTCATGATGACATATGGACAGATAAAAGATCTGGACAGAGTGTGTCAACAAAGACATTAGAGAGCGTGGCCTTGCCAGTGTGAACCTGCTGGATAGGGCTGCCTGGAGGTGCGGAGTGAAGACCAGTACCAACTAGCCGACTGCTGCCGACCCCTGTGGCAGGGACAACAGCAGCATAATAATAATCCTGGATAGTGATTGAGTGAAACGGGTACTTACACCCTTACAGATGGACACGGCTTCCTTGGACATGGACTTGGGGTAGGACACATTATGCTCCAGGATGGATTGGAACAACTCATCTTCATCTTCACCATCAAATGGGGGCTACAACGGAAAATAATAATAACTTTTAAATTAAGGTTTAACTGGTAGTGCAGAAGTTACGTAGTTCATGTACTACATATAATCATATATTTTAGCTTCATTCTTAATTGACAGTCACATACATTTTACAATACATAGCATGATGTTCTGAGTCTACAGGTTAACTAGTACATACCTGCCCAGCCAGCATTTCATACAGGAGAACTCCAAAGGCCCACCAGTCCACCATCTTGTCATAGGGTTGGTAAGCTACAATCTAAGAGAAAAAAGAAAATCAGAGTAAGGAAGTATTGTCCATTGTTTCTATATAATTTTATACACAAAAAACTCTAGAAATCTTTGCCTTATTTTTGTACTTCATTTTCTTGACATTTTCTGTACATGTATGAGTAACTGTAACAGTTGTTTAGCTGCTGTGAAGAAAAAATACAGTTTCACAAATAATGAAAAGGAGAGGAAATGTTTGCACATATATTGTAGGGTAGTACACAACAAGTTAATCAGGAAGAAGTTAATTAGATTAGTACCTCAGGGGCAATGTAATCAGGTGTTCCACAGAAGGTTCTTGTCTTGGCTCCCTCCGCCATGTTCTCTTTACACATGCCGAAATCTGCGATCTTGATGTGACCGTCAGAATCCAGCATGACATTGTCCAACTTGAGATCTCTGCATTACAAGGAAGATTGTTATGTTACAATTGCAAGCAGAAGAAAAAGTGATTTAACTATCATATTATGATAATTGAACTGGTTTTAACATAAAGGCTAAATTTTAGGCTAAAACAGCAGACTAAAATATACTAACTGCTACAGTTGAGAAAATCAGCATTGTAATTCCCTGTCCTTGGTGCTGATTGTGTTATTATTGTGCTAAATTGTGTTTTCCTGTCCCTAGTAATGTGTTTCTCTGTCCTTGGTTCTGTGTTACCTGTTCCTGACTGTGTTTCCCTGTCCCTAGTAATGTGTTTCTCTGTCCTTGGTTCTGTGTTACCTGTTCCTGGTGCTGACTGTGTTTCCCTGTCCCTAGTAATGTGTTTCTCTGTCCTTGGTTCTGTGTTACCTGTTCCTGGTGCTGACTGTGTTTCCCTGTCCCTAGTAATGTGTTTCTCTGTCCTTGGTTCTGTGTTACCTGTTCCTGGTGCTGATAGTGTTTCCATGGTGCTGATTGTGTTTCCATGCTGATAACTGACAGCATGGCCATGGTTTCTGTCTATAGTGCTGGCTGTGTTTCCATAGTGCTGACTGTGTTTCCCTGTCCTTGGTGCTGACTGTGTTTCCCTGTCCCTGGTGCTGACTGTGTTTCCCTGTCCCTGGTGCTGACTGTGTTTCCCTGCCTCTGGTACTGACTGTGTTTCCCTGTCCCTGGTGCTGACTGTGTTTCCCTGTCCTTGGTGCTGACCATGTTTCCCTGTCCTTGGTGCTGACTGCGTTTCCCTGTCCCTGGTGCTGACCATGTTCCCTGTCCCTGACTGTATCCCCTGCCCCTGGTACTGACTGTG